GTGGGGCTTGAACTCACAAACCGTGAAATCATGACCTGAGCCGAGTCAGATGCTTAACTTACTGAGCTATCCAGGCACCCCCATCCTGTTCTAATATAAGTCTTGAATATCTATTTCATGGAAAAGACTTGAGACCGTGGTCTATAATTTTTTTGATTTGTGGTGATTCATTGAGTATAGAAGTGGTGAAGAGCATGTTTACCGCTGCTTTTTTAAATGGAGTGATTTTGACCCTTCTAATTTTAATATTTTTATTTTATAATGCATCTTACGATGTATAATGTAGAAGATTTTATAAAATGTTAAGAGTAGTTTGAATAACTATCAGTTATTAGCATTTCTTGAAGGTAAGATGTTTCAAACTAACTTTCAGAAAGTCTTCTGGTTAAAATGTCTTCTGTTCCTTTTTGCTGGTGCTTTATAGTGAATGAGTATTGCATTTGGGAAATGAAATTAGCATTAGCAATACAGAAAATGAAAAAATTGGTATGTATCATTCTATTAAAGTATTTTTAGGATTCTGTATCCATATTTTATTAAGAAACATATCTGTCACTGATAGCTCAGTTTTTTCTTTTTAACGGAGAATATAGAATTCAAAGAGTATTTTTGAGGGGCATCTGGATTGTTCAAGTCATGATCTCACGGTTCGTGAGTTCGAGCCCTGTGTTGGGCTCTGTGCTGACAGCTCAGAACGTAGAGCCTGCTTCAGATTCTGTCTCCCTCTTTCTCTGCCCCTCCCCTGCTCACTCTCTGTCCCTGTCTCTCAAAAATAAACACTGAAAAAAAAATTAAATATTTTGAGCAATATAAAAGTTGTGTTAAAAAAAATAAGTCCTGTTGGTTGCTTTTCGAACCACTGAAGTTAATACTCTGGAACTCCCAAATAATATAGTTACTTCATCAACTTCAATGATTTTATTTATAAAATAAGTAAAAAAGGCACCAGCCTTGGAACCAGATCTGACATGAAATTCCATCCAGTTTCACTGCTAATAAGTTGTATGTAACTAAGTTATTCACTTATGTCATCTCTAAAAGGCAATAATAGATCCTATTTAATATTTTAGAAGTAACTTGATAGTGGGTATTTATCACTTGAATGTCTGTTTAAGGAAATAGGCAATTATTGGGAAATGGGTAAAAGTAATTCCTTGATTTCCCGTAATGAAGGACAAACTTAATAGCATGTAGACAGAGGGCTGAGAATCCTCAAATTAAATGAGGTTTTGAATTCATTTAACTTTTAAGTTTCCTTTGGGATATTTACTGCTCATGGTGCCCCAGTTTATTAATAAGAAAAGGAACATGTGTTAGAATAAATTGATAATCATTACCTTTGAGAAAGACTTCTTTAGAAAAAATGACAGCTAAACTGAATGGTTTGCTTGATTGGATTTTATATTGACAAATGCTCTTTATGACAGCCAGCCAGTTGGTGTACTGTACTTTGAGTAATAGTGATTTTGAGAGTGCATCAATTTTAATGAATAATGAATGTATTTACCTAAATTCTAGGAAAGTCTTATTTCCCACATTTAGCATGTTTGGTGTCAGCATGCATCTAATTTAGATGATAGAGTGTACTTTTAGAACTGATTTCAGGGGCGCCTGGGTGGCGCAGTCGGTTAAGCGTCCGACTTCAGCCAGGTCACGATCTCGCAGTCCGTGAGTTCGAGCCCCGCGTCAGGCTCTGGGCTGATGGCTCAGAGCCTGGAGCCTGTTTCCGATTCTGTGTCTCCCTCTCTCTCTGCCCCTCCCCCGTTCATGCTCTGTCTCTCTCTGTCCCAAAAATAAATAAACGTTGGAAAAAAAAAAAATTAAAAAAAAAAAAGAACTGATTTCAAGTTACATAGGAAATACAGTATATAGTTGGTTTGTATATGTCTTGTATAGGGGCTTAAAACTTGTTTTAAAACTTTTTGAATATTACAGTTTTTGTTTAGAAATTGGGCATTTAAACCATATTCTTAAAATTAATTTGAACTCTGCGCCGTTAATCACAGTAGCATGTAAATGGAATCATACGATATTTATACTTCTGTGTATGACTCACCTTAGCATGATGTCATCACTATCCTTTGACATCACTTGTCATTAAGCAAATCTAAAGTGAATGGGATTTTACTTTGATTGAAATGATTTGAATTAGTGCTGCGTGATGTGCATTTTGTCCTGTCCAACTTGTAGGCAGAAAAAAACAGAGCTGCAGCAATGGCAAACAATCTACAAAAGGGAAGTGCTGGACCTATGAGGCTTTATGTGGGCTCATTACACTTTAACATAACTGAAGATATGCTTCGGGGGATCTTTGAGCCTTTTGGAAGGGTAAGTCCCAGTATCTTCATACAATTCATTGCCTTTTCATGTATTCACAGTTGTGCAGTGATCAACTACATTCAGTGTTGAGTTTAGTTATTCCAGCATCTTGGGCAATTTATCATGTGTGGTGTTACTGAGAATTAATGTTTGGTGTTTTTAGCATAATGGTGGAAAGGAAGCAAACTGTTAATTATTTCTAATACCTGATTGTAGGTTTACAAAGGAACTTTGGTTTTTAGTGGTTTGTTTTTGAGGCAAAAGAATAAGATCATATTTTTTCCCCCCCTGTTCCACAGTGCATAACTTCTTGTTTGGGACGTTTCTAGGCTTTTAGAAGATATTTTGGTGGAAATGAGGGGTTGTGATGTATTTTCAAAAAAAATTTTTTTCTTTCCTAAATCTGAGAGAGCACAAACAGAACAGGGAGAGAGAGAAAATCTTAAGCAGGCTTCACACCCAGCTTTGAGCCTGACACAGGGCTCAATCCCTTGACCTGGGATGACGGCCTAAGGCAAAATCAATAGTTGTTCAACAGACTGAGCCACCCAGGAGCCCCTCAGTTCGGGGGTGGGGATGACTTTTTTTTTTTTTTTTAAGTTTATTTAATTTGAGAGAGTGAGGGAGGGAGAGACAGAGAAGGAGAAGGAGAGAGTGAGTCTCAAAGCAGGCTCTCCACTACTAGTGCAGAGCCTGATGGGCTCAAACTCATGAAACTGCGAGGTCATAACCTGAGCTGAAACCAAGAGTCGAATGATTAACTGAATGAGCCATCCATGCGCCCCTGGATGAGTTTTTTTTTTATTAAAGAGGAATTTTTTTTTAACATTTGTTTAGTTTTGAAGTAGAGACAGAGCGTGAGTGTGGGAGGGGCAGAGAGGGAGACACAGAATCCTAAATGGGCTCCCGGCTCTGTGCTGTCAGCATAAAGCCTGACGCGGGACTTGAACCCACAAACTGCGAGATCATGATATGAGCTGAAGTCAGACACTTAACCGACTGAGCCACCCAGGCGCCCCGGATGAGATTTTTTTAAAAAATCATGTTTCAAGGAATAAAATGCTTTTGTTTCCTCCTTTTTGCTTCAATAATAATCATGATTTTCATTTTTAGATTGAAAGTATCCAACTCATGATGGATAGTGAAACAGGTCGATCTAAGGGATATGGTTTTATTACGGTAAGCAATTACCATGATTAACATCATGTTTACCAAATGTTGATGTTTAGCCAGTTTCCTATTCTGTATATGGTCATTAATTTCCATAGCTAAATCTCTGTGTCATTGAAGTTCATGATTCCATTATGAGTTCAATTTCTTAGTACGTTTTATTACGTGTTTTTGTGAGTTGAATGAAAGTCTCTTGAAATTCTGCTTTACTTAAAATTCTTTTTGTGTGTCATCACCTCAAAACCATGATCAGAATTGTTTTATTATAAGGGTTTGTGGTTAACCAGCATAGCCCATTCCCTGATGAGAATAGAGTTTTGATGTGGCACTTGGGATAATTGAATGGAGGGGCCCCTTTAAAAGTAAATTCTCTTTTGTATTTCCCAATGTAATTCAATTACATCATCATATATCTTCAGGAGGTTCTGGAAACTATTTGTAGAGCAAATGTGAATTGGCACCATAGCTGCTATTGCAAAAAAAAGAAAACGAAAAAGTTTTTTTAAAGTTTATTTGTTTTTGAAAGAGAGACAGAGCTTGAGCACAGGGGAGGGGCAGAGAGAGAGAGGGAGGCACAGAGCCTGATGCAGGGCTCAAACACATGGACTATGAGTGAGATCAAGACTGGAGCTGAGGTTGGATGCTTAACCGACTGAGCCACCCAGGCACCCTGAAAAAAATTTTTAAAATACAAATAGGTCTGAATTCTAATCAAATTATAATTGTATTGTGTTCAAATTTCAGTAAAATTTAAATGTTTTTTAGTGATAAAGTTTTGGTAAGTGGGATTTTATCTTTCTCAATATGTATTAGTGAAAGGAGAAAAGTTTACTTATAAATTATAGCTGTTCAGTCACTTAAAAAAAAATTTTTTTTTTAACGTTTATTTATTTTTGAGACAGCATGAACAGGGGAGGGGCAGAGAGAGGGGGAAACACAGAATCTGAAACAGGCTCTAGGCTCTGAGCTGTCCGCACAGAGCCCGACGCGGGGCTCAAACTCACGGACCGTGAGATCATGACCTGAGCCGAAGTTGGACGCTTAACCTACCGAGCCACCCAGGCGCCCCAAGTCACTTTTTTTAAACTAATTTTTTATTTTGCTTCTAATAACATTAGTGTGGTTATTTTCCTCTGTGTGTGGTCAAGACATTTTATGTGTCACTTCTACTAAATTGAGTATTTCATCATGTGTTCCCTAAAATATTTTTTTTTATGGGATAGGTTTGGTGCTTGAATATTCGGTTAGTGGCCAGGCACAATTTTCATAGAAATCTTACTAAATGTCAGATAAAACATGCAGGCCTATTATTATTAAAAAAATTTGTTTTAATGTTTATATTTGAGACAGAGACCAAATGCCAGTTGTGGGGTGGTGGGCAGAGAGAGAGAGGGAGACACAGAGTCTGAGGCAGCTCCAGGCTCTGAGCTGTCCACACAGCCCAATGCAGGGCTCAAATTTCAAGCCATGATATCTTGACCTGAGCTGAAGTCTGATGCTTAACCAACTGAGCCCCACCCAGGTGCTCCTCAAAAAATTTTTAATTATCAACTATACATATGCCATTTACTAAGATCTGGTACAAAGCTAGATTACGTAAATTTATATGGTGCTGTGTATTGGTAAATGTTTTCTGTTTTGTGACTCTCCATTATTTCTTCCTATCTTGATAAAAGAGAAAAAAAAATTATTTTGCAACATACTGGTAAAATATTAAGGTACGGAATTCATGAGAGTATATTTTTCTTCCATTAAGTGAAATACGGAGTGCAAATCAGTTTGTGTTTGCATCCTGGGAATTAAGAGTTTTCATGATGTTATTGGCAATAAAATGACCCAGGATTTTTTTTTTAAAAATAACATTTGAGTGATGTTTTAATTTTTCTAAATAGTTCTTTTTTTTTTTTTTTTTT